ATTCATTTGGTTTTAGGGGGTGATTCTAAGATTTAGCGTTGTTTTGGGAGTTCCAAGGGTTCGAGTAGGTCCGCCTCGTGATTTCAGACTTGTCGGTATGTTCGGGCGGGGCTCGGGAGCCCCGAGCATCAAACGAGCGAGGTTCGAGCGAAGTAGAAAAACTTAAAAAGAGCTGGAGGTTTGCTGCTTCTGTCATAACCGCATCTGCGGTTCTGAGCCGCAGAAGCGGGACCGCAGATGCGGTCAGACCATCGCAAAAGCAAAAAGGGGGAGGCCCAGCGAAAGCCGCAGAAGCGGCCCAGGGACCGGAGAAGCGGTTGCGCTTATGCGATCCCCAGACCGCAGATGCGGTCCAGTCCTTATAGGCTCAAGCCGCAGAAGCAGCCCACTAACCGCAGAAGCGGTTCCGCATATGCGGGCCTCAAACCATAGAAGCGGTCCAATCCCCTCTTGCCCAGTTCCGCAAATGCGGCCCTAACTTCGCAGATGCGGGACCGCAGAGACGGTCCCCTAACCGCAGAAGCGAAAATCGCTGGGCAGTGGCCTTCATTTAATTCGAACTCAAACACCATTTTTCATTTTACACTCCACACTTAGGCGATTTGGGGGATTCCAAAGAGAGGGTTCCAACATAGCACTTCAAGGTAAGTTACTCCCATTCATTATTAGTTAATTACATGTATATTAGGTAGATTAAACACTAAAAATTAGACAAAATCAAAGGGGTTAGAGCTAGACCTAGGGTTTTAATAAAATTAAGATTCAAGCATGAAATTTCTTAGGACATGGACTAGAATTTACATATTATTGATCCTTAGGTTGTAGAGAACAATTTCCTTCGAAAAATATCGGAATCCGGGCACGTGGGCCCGGGGTCGGAATTTAGGAAACTTGTGGAAAAGGTTGGGAAATTTCTTAAATAGTTAGAATTCGACCTTTTAAGCCTTTATTGACTAGTTCTTACCTATTCTAGCTAGTTTGAGATCGTTCGGCTTCGAATTAAGAGCTTGGGCTTGTTCTCGACATTGGGAGCGCGCTTTGGTGCGAGGTGAGTCTCTTTTCTAACCTTGTAAGAGGGAATTGTCCCCATAGGATTAATAATTGAGTAATTGTTGCTAAATGCGGGGGCTACGCACGCGCTAGGTGACGAGAGTCCGTGCGTATCTACTACTATGTTAATGGTCCGGGTAGTTTAGGACCCACATCGTGCTTATTTTATGTGACTCTTTATATTATCTTGTTGCTACGAACACCTATGATATGCTAGAAGCTTAAAAAGGGAATAAGAACGTGCTTGCATAATTGTTGAAGTCTTGCTTGGCATTAATGACTATTGATGTGCCTTGTGTGTATACTTGATATTTTCTTCATATTTGTCGATCGGGCCGATCGCCTCGGTATGAATAGATGCATCTATTGGCGCGCCGTCGACCCTCGACAAGTGCACGATTTATTTCTGTTGGATCGGGCTGTCGCCTCGGCATATTTGCGCATGCTTACATAGCTTCGCCTGAGATTGTTAAATATTGGTGCTGCTTTTATGGCCCGAAATGCATTGATAATTGTAACTGCAGTAATCGATAAATAGAAATCCTAGTATAATATGACTTATATGCCTTGTTTTAACTGCTGCCTATGAAAGGTTTTCATTGTTAAACTTATACTCATAATACTATCTGACCCTAGTAAGTATCAAGTCGACCTCTCGTCTCTACTTCTTCGAGATTAGGCGGGATACTCACTGGGTACATATTGTTTATGTACTCATGCTACGCTTCTGTACTTAAATGTACAGGGTCTGAGGCAGGTGGATCCGGTTATTTCTCTGGTGCGCATTCGTGAGTAGACTTGGGACTTCTACGGTGAGCTGCTTCCTTCCATGTCGATCCGCAACCGAAGAAGTCTTTCTTTTGCAGTGTTATATTCTGTCTATTCTGATCCAGACAGTAGGGTAGTGTGGTATTCTTTTGGGTTGTATATTCTACTAGTTGCCCGTAGCTTGTGACACCAGGTTCTGGCACACACTTTGGTAGACGATTATTTTGGGGGTTGTGTAACTATCTTATTATGGTATTTATCTCTCCTGGTTTAAAATTTCAAGTTGAGTATTTATTCCACTTATTCTAATTAAAAACAATATCATTATTTAGTGATAATTCGGAAATGGCTTGCCTGACAAGGGTGTCAGGCGCCCTCACAACCTATTATGAAAATGGGTCGTGACATACAACATGATCAAGATTCTCATAAAATACTACTTGAAGGTTAATAGAGAAATGCTAAGAGACAATAAATAAATAAACAACGCAAAAAAATAATAATCATGAATTTAACATTATGATCCAAAACTTGATTTCAAGATTGACCTCAACATTCATCCATATAGTAAATTTCCTTGCATATGCCTCAAGTAATCTAAACATGCTCAAAATCCTCATCAATTGCTATTAAAAAATTTGCATTACAGACTTTAAAGGTTATCTGGGTCGCAGAAAAATAAATATTGCAGTGAAGAGTAAGAGCTCAACAACAGAAAGCAACAGAGAAGAAAAACAGCAAAATCAGCAGAAATCCAGCAGCAAATTGTGTTTTAAAACAGCCCGGAAACTTTAGAGAAGAAGACCAGAACTAACTTTAAAGAAGACTTCTACGTTTCTAAAAGTTTGCACTCTTAGATTCACTCACAAAGCGCAGATATTTTCAGCTTACTAATGTATTCAGCTGCTGATTTTTTCTTCAAAGATATGTGTGTTCAGGCAACTCTAAAGATGTGTGTAAGTGTAAGATAGAGTCCGTAAAGTAAGGAAGGGGCAGCCCTTAAGTAGGCAAAGAAAGCTAACTTTTTGGACAGAGTTTGGTTCACCAACAAATCTGTCAAAAAAGTGACAGACTTTGTGTGCTAAACACTGTTCAAAAGTTGTCTAAAAGGTGAAAGGACAGCCTGAAAATCTGCTATAGCAGAAGCAAAGAGTCATTTTCAGCCACCCTACTAGTAAAAGGTAAGCTACTAGTACTCTAACTCATGATCAAACCCATCTAATCTTCAGATTTTAACAACATCAATATCACCCTATTGATTCAAAATAAACCAAGTAAACAAGCAACTAACATTCACCAATTGAACTGCTAAAGCATACACACTTAGATTGCAACTAGAATGAGGATTCAAATGAACTAGATCAAATCGGTTCAACCTACGCAAGTTAAGATAAAGTGACTAATACTACAATCTATTATATGAAGCAGAAGTTAAACAAACATTATTGAATCGTCGACGAAAATAACATCGACGAAACAACTTGCTAGATGAACACTGATTCGACAACACTAAAGATTACGTTGGTTAATAACAATTTGATAAAAAACTAAGCTAGATAGTGATAACCAATTAAATAAACCTAAACTCTATTTAACAAAAAACAAACTAAAATAGAAAAAAATAAAAATCTGAAATTAACCTACTACTATTAAAAGATCAGAAATTAATTAAAGGGATGAAGCTTATACCAATCGAATGTGCTTGAACTGCTCGAGCCACGAGAAGACGCCGGAGATGTGAAGGAGTAGTTTCCCAACCCTGAAACACTCATTTCACTCCGGCATATGCTAATACCAAGGGATTCCAGCATTATGCCGGAAGGAAAAGAGGGTTCTTGGGTCGAAAGAAGCGAAGATGGAGAAGTAGTGGCGGCAGAGGCGGCGGGCAGTGGGGTGGTCGATGGTGGTGGTCGGGTTTTGGAGGTAAAACTAGAGGGAAAGTGTAGATCTCTTGGAGATCTACATGTTTATGTAAAGTTTGTGTGGTGGGGTGGTCGGATTTGCCATGAAATTGAAGAGGGAAGTAAGAGGCGGCTATCTACAGTTTCGGTTTCACGGAATTTAGAGGGGTTTTTGAGGATTTGGGGCTCGGATTAGGAGAGAGGGTAAAGAGAGGAAGAGATTGGTGTAGGTTTTATGGGCTTTGGACGAGGTCCACCGGCGGTGGCGAATTCCGGCTGGCGGAGCCACCGTGGGGAGCGACAGAGAAATAGGGAAATGAGAGAGTGATGAGAGAGTGAGGAGAGGGGAAGAAGAAAAGGGAAATAAGGCAAATGGGGGCAAAATTTGGCTTCCATAGGCTTTAAATACCTAGGTGAGAGATTAAATTAGGACCATTGGATCAAGTCAAGATATGTGGCTAAGATTAAATCTCAGCCACTTAACCAAAACGACACCGTTTTGGTGCGTTTGGTTGGGGTCTTGAGCTGGGCGGGTCGAATGCAATTGGGCCACAGATTTAGTCCATGTTTTGGGCCAATTGTGCTTTAAAACCAACAAAATCAATCCATATTAACCCCATCACTCATTATTTAAGAACTCTAATTCTAAAATCTACAAACACATACAAAATAAATCTAAAAAAGGTACAATGTAGGAGAAAAGGAAAAAAAAGCAAAAATTAGGTATTTACAGCTGCCCCTCTTTGCTCGAGAACATGAAGAGTTTTCGTGCAAAGAAAAAGAATTCCATAGCTAATTTTGCTCGTGTACCACTCCAATGAAAGCATTTTTGAAAAAACGTGACCGAACCTTGCTTCTGAGGTTGCCTACATATCCTTGGCTATAAAGGAATCAGGTCAGTGTAGTTCTGAAAAAATTTGGTAGCTGGGACTACCAAACACTAGAGTTAAGACTGTTGTTGTTGCTGTTGTTGCCATTGACTGTTACTTGATTCTTACATCAAAAGAAAAAGAGAAGAGCACTACATATGCCTGCAAGCTAAGAGTTACAAAATTCCTATCTATGTGTCTTGTGGAGCCAAATCTTGATTCTTGACATGCTCGCTTGTTTTGACCTTAGATTGGATCTTGATGCTATTTGAAGTAAAGATTATAGCTCGTTCTCGATTGCTTGCTTTCCGGATCAGAATTTGAGAAAATGAATCTTGAGAAGTTGGGCTTGCTGACACATTATCAAAGCTAACTCCAACTAGCTTGTGATCGAAAGACTTCTTTGTTCTGATTAGAAACTGAAACTGCAAGCTTTAATCGTCACTTGTGCTATACGGCGGAGCCTGCAAAGCCATCAAAGACGAACAAAACGAACAAAATTTTTCTGCCCCAGTTTGGCACTAGGAAAATTTTGTGAGTTATTAGATAAAGCTATAAATTATCTAATTTGTTGAAATGAAGACAGATGAAGTAGTACAAACTAGCTATGTGAGGATATGCAACCACGAGGGGTAGTACCTTATGTTACCAAAGAAATGGAATTAAAGGATGGTACTTTGTATTACTGAAAGGCAACGTAATAAGGGATTGGCACCCTGTATTACTAGAAAGTAATGTAACCAGGGGTTGGCACCCTGTATCACTGAGAAGGAACGTAACCAAAGGTTGGCACCCTGTATCACTAGGAAGGAATGTAACCAGGGGTTGGCACCCTATATTATTGAGAAGGAATGTAATCAGGGGTTGGTACCTATATCACTGGAAGAAAATGGAACCAGGGGTTGGCGCCCTGTATTATTGATGAAGTGCTGAATCCCTCTAGGCGAAACGGTTAGACCATGAGTTAAGCTACGTAAAACACCCTGAACGAAGAGTACTTCTACCCGAAACTATAAGCTGGATCCCCTAGGCGAAGCGGTTCCACCCGAGTTAAGCTACGTAAAACATCCTGAGCGAATAGTATTTCTACCCGGAACTATGAGCTGGATCCCCTAGGCGAAACGGTTCTACCTGAGTTAAGCTACGTAAAACACCCTGAGCAAAGAGTACTTCTACCCGGAACTATGAGCTGGATCCCCCTAGGCGAAACGGTTCTACCTGAGTTAAGCTACGTAAAACACCCTGAGCAAAGAGTACTTCTACCCGGAACTATGAGCTGGATCCCCCTAGGCGAAGCCGTTCTACCCTGAGTTAAGCTACGTAAAACACCCTGAGCGAAGAGTACTTCTACCCGGAACTATGAGCTGGATCCCCCTAGGCGAAACGGTTCTACCTGAGTTAAGCTACGTAAAACACCCTGAGCGAAGAGTACTTCTACCCGGAACTATGAGCTGGATCCCCCTACCTGAGTTAAGCTACGTAAAATACCCTGAGCGAAGAGTACTTCTACCCGGAACTATGAGCTAGATCCCCCTAGGCGAAACAGTTCTACCTGAGTTAAGCTACGTAAAACACCCTGAGCGAAGAGAACTTCTACCCAGAACTATGAGCTGGATCCCCCTAGGCAAAGCGGTTCTACCCAAGTTAAGCTACGTAAAACATCCTAAGCGAAGAGCATTTCTACCCGAAACTATGAGCTGGATCCCCCTAGGCGAAACGGTTCTACCTGAGTTAAGCTATGAAAATGGGAGGTGTGAACAGTAGTGATGCATGCTAAAAATAAAAGAAAATGGAGATTTTAAGGAGCTTACATTTGGTGACATTCGTCCTTTAAGAATCGCCATTCTGCTCTGCTTTGTTCCTGCTTTAAACAAAGAAAAATTTGTGAGTTTTCAAAGTGGTGGTTGGTTTGTGGCCTTGATGACCTGTTGTAGTTTGAATTCACGGCCACTTCGCTGTTGAAGAATTGATTCTATCAGTGTGGTACCGAGGTGCTCGGATACTCTGTATTGCATTTTAGAAACCTTGTTTTCCGACGTTGCCCCTGACTGTTTCATACTCGGATGTCCGTGGTACAGTAACCCTTGTCCCTAAGGCAAGGCAATTTCCGTTTAAAATCAAACTCACTTGTCTTGCACCTAGTATCAGTTTGTGTCCGTAGTGCTTATCAACTTTTCTTATGAAGCAGGTCTTTCTTAGGCGACCTTTACAGTTTCTTTGAGACACTTTGTTTGCCTCATCAAATGAGATCACATATGGATTCTTCCTTCATCAGTGCCATATATGCCCCAAATTGTTCTCGATATTACAGGGAAACTGTAGCCAGTTTTGCAGCCATTTCTTTGTTTCGCTTTTGATGCAAGATTAGACCGAAAGGAACTCAAAGAAATATTATGGGTAAAAATAGAAGAATAATTTAAAGTGAAAAAGAACTGTGGTTAAACAAAAGGTGTCCCTTCCGGGGAAAGAAATATGGAGACTTATCTGAAGGTATGCGCCGATTTCAATGAATTATGACATGCATTTTGGACTGGACGCCTAATCCGTCTGAGCTGTCTGATTCTCAAAATTCGTTGCAAACATTCATCTTGAAACTGTCTTTGTTGTGCTCATGCCAGAGTATCGACGGCCCTCATTCGGCTAGTAGCGCCCTTTACGGGTTTTCGCTAACTGGCCTCTCTTATTTATCTACTCACTGTCGCCTTATGGTGCCCATCTGGGTTATCACCACTAAGACTCTCTCATTTCTCTACTCACCGTCGCCTTACAGTGCCCATACGGGTTTTCACCGATAAGATTCTCTCATTTTTTTTGACTAGGATACTGCATGCGGAAGGTTGCCCAATGCCCTTGGCATGGGGACTTCAAACATTCTCAAAGATCGATCAGAAGTTCCTAATAGGGAAAAGGAGAAAAGAACCTCGAACTGAATTACAACTTTTGCAACCGTTTTTGTAGGAAAAACCATAAAATAAAACAAACTTCTGCCCCAGTTTTGGAGTATTAGGAATATGGATTTTTGTTGTGATGGGACCGAACCCAGGGTAAGGCTGCCTACGTATCCTTTCAGAATCAGGTCGGACGTAGTTCAATGACTCAAAAGGTTTGTTGTTTGACTTTTTTTTTACAAGTACATAGGTTCCAGAAAGTGGAAAGCAAAGAAGACAAATACGGCTCAAGAGGGCTAATAAAAGGGTAACACCTATTTGGAATAGCGAGCAATGATAGCCTTCGTCATCTCGATCTGAGAAAATCATGCGTGAAAGTTCCAAAGTGAGTATATATTAGACATAGTATCTTTTGACTGAATCTGCGTTAATAATCATGTCTGGTACCCGTCCTTCTTCATCTACCAAGTGCAAGGCCCCTTTTGGTAACACTTTCTTGATGATGTAGGGTCCTTGCCAGTTTGGGGCGAACTTTCCTTTAGCTTTTACTTGGTGTGGACGAATGCTTTTTAGAACGAGTTGGCCTACCTCGAAGTGCCTTGGACGCACTTTTTTGTTGTAAGCGCGTGCCATTCTTTCCTGGTATAATTGTCCAAAACACACTACCGCTTACCGTTTTTCATCAATCAGCATCAGCTGTTCCAAACGGGTCTTTACCCATTCTGTATCTTCAATCTCCGATTCCACAATGATCCGAAGAGAGGGAATTTCGACTTCCGTTGGTATTACAGCTTCCGTTCCATATACCAGCAGATAAGGAGTTGCACCAACAGATGTGCGAGCAGTCGTGCGGTATCCCAAAAGAGCAAAAGGCAACTTTTCATGCCATTGCCTGGAACCTTGGATCATCTTCCTAAGAATCTTCTTGATGTTCTTGTTCGCCCGCTTCAACGACTCCACTGGCTTTTGGTCGGTAAGGGGTAGAATGGCGATGTATAATTTTAAATTGCTCGAATACCTCCTTCATCAAATGACTATTTAGATTGGCTGCATTGTCAGTGATAATGGTCTTTGGGACACCAAAGCGAAAAATGATGTTGGAATGAACAAAATCTACCACTGCTTTCTTGGTGACTGCTTTGAAAGTGACGGCCTCCACCCACTTGGTGAAGTAATCAATTGCAACCAAAATGAATCTATGCCCATTTGAAGCCTTTGGCTCGATTGGACCAATAACATCCATTCCCCAAGCAACAAAAGGCCAAGGAGAGGACATGGGATGCAACTCTGAAGGAGGCGAGTGAATCAAATCACCATGAATCTGGCATTGGTGACACTTGCGAACAAAACTGAAGCAATCTCGCTCCATAGTAAGCCAATAATACCCCGCCCGCAGAATCTTCTTCGCCAAAACATATCCATTCATGTGAGGTCCGCACACCCCCGAATGCACTTCACCCATGATCTGCTCTGCTTCTGTAGCATCTATGCATCTCAACAAGTTTAAATCTGGGGTCCTTTTGTACAGAATTTCCCCATTCAGGAAGAAACCACTGGCGAGCCGCCTTAAAGTTCTTTTTTGATCTCCTTTGGCATGCTCTGGATATTCTCTCATTTTCAGGAATCGTTTTATGTCATGATACCATGGTTCACCATCTGGTTCTGTCTCAATTGTATTGCAGTAACCGTGTTGATTTCGAACTTGGATTTCTAGCGGATCAATATGAGCGTTGCCTGGATAAGGGATCATCGAGGCTAAAGTAGCCAAGGCATCGGCTAGCTCGTTGTGAAACCTAGGAATGTACCTGAACTCGATGGATTTGAATCTTTTGCTCAAGTCTTGCACGCATTGTCTGTACGGAATAAGCTTGATGTCTCGAGTCTCCCATTCGCCTTGAGCTTGCCGGATAAGCAAGTCAGAATCTCCCATAACCAATAGTTCATGCACATCCAGATCGATGGCCATTTTCAAACCCATGATACAAGCTTCGTATTCTGCCGTATTATTGGTACAGAAGAATCGAAGTCGGGCCGTTGCAGGGTAATGATGTCCAATAGGTGAGATGAGGATTGCCCCGATCCCAACTCCTTTGATATTGACAGCTCCATCAAAATACATTTTCCATACAGGGTGATCGTCTGGAACCACTTCCTCTATTGAGTTGACCTCTTCGTCTGGGAAGTATGTGCTAAGTGGCATGTACTCATTATCAACTGGATTCTCTGCCAAATGATCTGCCAAAGCCTGTGCTTTCATCGCGGTGCGAGTGACATAGACGATGTCAAACTCTGTGAGCAAGATTTGCCATTTTGCGAGCCTGCCAGTGGGCATTGGCTTTTGGAAGATGTACTTCAAAGGATCCATTCTGGATATGAGGTAAGTAGTGTAGGCCAAAAGATAATGTCTCAGCTTCTGAGCGACCCAAGTCAAGGCACAACATGTTCTTTCTAAAAGGGTGTACTTAACCTCATAATTGGTGAACTTCTTGCTCAAATAATAGATTGCCTGTTCCTTTTTGCCTGTTGCATCATGTTGCCCCAGAACGCATCCAAAGGAATTATCCATCACCGATAGATATAAAAACAAAGGCCTACCAGGTTCAGGCGGGACCAGTACAGGGGGTTTTGACAGATAATCTTTGATCCTGTCAAAAGCTTTTTGGCAATCGTCTGTCCACCTGATAGCGGCATCCTTTTTCAGCAACTTAAAGATGGGCTCGCACGTGGTTGTGAGCTGAGCAATGAACCTACTGATGTAGTTCAGCCTCCCGAGCAAACTCATGACTTCCTTTTTGTTCTTCGGGGGTGGCAGATCTCGAATGGACTTTATCTTAGATGGATCCAATTCGATGCCTCTCCGGCTGACTATAAAACCGAGGAGTTTCCCAGACGGAACCCCAAATGCACACTTGGCTGGATTAAGCTTAAGGTCATACCTTCGAAGCCGTTCGAAGAACTTTTTCAAATCACACACGTGATCAGCTTGTGTCTTTGATTTTATGATAACATCATCGACATATACTTCAATCTCTTTGTGCATCATGTCGTGAAAAATGGTAGTCATGGCCCTCATGTAGGTTGCCCCTGCATTCTTTAAACCGAATGGCATGACCCTGTAACAATAAGTACCCCATGGCGTGGTGAACGCGGTCTTTTCTGCATCATCCTCATCCATTAGAATTTGGTGGTACCCAGCATAGCAATCCACGAACGATTGTATCTCATGTTTTGCGCAATTATCTACAAGAATGTGGATATTTGGCAAAGGAAAATTATCCTTTGGACTTGCTTTGTTCAGGTCCCTATAGTCGACACAAACTCTGGTTTTTCCATCCTTCTTTGGCACAGGCACAACATTTGCCACCCAGGTAGTGTATCGGACAGCTCTGACCACATTGGCGCTTAGTTGCTTCATTATTTCCTCTTTGATTTTGTCACTCACGTCTGTTTTAAATTTTCGTTGCTTTTGTTGGACTGGTGGAAAACCAGGATACGTAGGAAGCTTATGAACCACCAGATCAGCACTTAAACCCGGCATATCATCGTAAGACCAAGCAAACACATCTCTATATTCAAATAAAAGTTGAATCAAGGCATCTCTGGTTTTTTGTTCAGTGTGAATGCTTATCTTCGTTTCTCTAACTTCTTCAGGACTTCCGATATTAATCGGCTCAGTTTCATTGAGGTTTGGCTTAGGCTTGTTTTCAAATTGTTCCAACTCTCTTTTTATTTCCTCAACAACCTCATCTTCATCATATTCAACCTCTTGATGCATTATTTCGATATTAGACAGCTTTTTAAGATCTGGGCGTGAATTCCGCATGCATGTCATGTTATTAAAGCCGGCATTAACAAAACTGAAATGGAAATAAAATGACAGGAATTAGGAAAAGGAAAAGATAGAAAACTTAACAGGAAACTGAACTGCATTTCATTGAATTCGAAAGGATAGAAGGGTTAACATCAAAACAAAACAATCATACTGAGATGTTTGGATTACAACCCTGAAAATAACCCAAAAATACAAAAAAGAAGCTGCAAAAGCAAACTACCAAGACTCCTTCCTTGTGGGGAGAGGAGTTGCTTCCCAGTTGGTGAGCATGGTGTCTGGGTCAATTAGTTGCATATCGGCACGACTAGTGCCTTCACCAGCCTGGATCATATTCACTTCAGAAAACATCTCGCTGAGGCCATGGCAAATTTCATCAATGTTTGCATGCGCCGAGGAATTTTGACCCTCTCGGAGTCGTGGCTTGACAAAAGTGTAGAAAATATGAGGGATAGGCTGTTGCAAGACCCATCCATACTTTTTGCGGTGTTTGGCTTTGTTTTCGTCTGCTTGTGTTGGCCTGAAGCCCAATCCAAAAGTACCCTGGTTACCGAACGGAGAAATAGGCTCCGAAATTCCTTGCAATGATGCCCCCAAGCCTTTTCCTGGCTTATAACCTTGTCTCATCATAACTGCAGCCACCATTACAGATGTGGCGGAAAGACGAGGATGCAGAATAGGCTTTCCTTCCTCGACATGGTCCACAGCAACCACTTCAAACGCCTGATAGACAATGGACTCAGACCCTTCCTTGGCCTCAATACAGGGGATTAACGGGTCTTTATAAATGGAAGACTCGTCTTCCCCGTGAACAATAATTTCTTGCCTGTCATGTTCAAATTTGAGCATCTGATGCAAGGTGGATGGCACAGCTCGGGCCGTATGGATCCATGGCCTTCCAAGAAGAAAGTTATAAGAAGTGGCCATGTCCACTACCTGGAAGACAATCTCAAAGTCAACTGGCCCAATCGTCATGGTGAGGTTGATCTCCCCAATGGTATCTCTTGCTGAGCCATCAAAAGCCCGGATGCGAACATTGCTGGGTCGGATTCTGTCGGTATTGATCTTCATGCTTTGCAAGGTAGAGAGAGGGCATACATCTACACTTGAGCCTCCATCAACCATGACTCGCTTTACATAATGCCCCTCACATTTGACCATCAAGTTCAAAGCCCTATTGTGCCCGGCTCCCTCCTCGGGAAGTTCATCATCAGTAAAGGAGATTCTGTTCACCTCAAAAAATCTGTTGGCCATTTTCTCTAACTGATTCACTGTGGTCTCCTCTGAGATATGTGCTTCGTTCAGGACCTTGATTAGTACACGGGCATGCTCTTTGGAATGTATGAGCAGAGATAGTAGAGAGATTTGGGCAGGAGTCTTTCTTAGCTGGTCAATGATTGAGTAATCCTGAACTTTCATCTTTTTCAAAAACTCTTCCGCCTCTGCTTCAGTGACTGGTTTCTTTATTGGCAATTGACCTTCTCTGATTTGCTTGGCCTTCCTCAACTCTTCTGGAGAGTAACATCTCCCCGATCGAGTCAAACCTCCAGTTTCCCCCACTTCCTCTATGATTTCCTTGCCTTTGTAGGTCATCACAGTTTTGTTGTAGTTCCAAGGAGTGGTTTTTGTATTTGTCACAGGGGGTTGCACGGCAGGTTTGATTATGATCGGCTCTGTTATGCCACTCGTACCACCCTGATTCTGCTTTGTATTGGGGTGGCCTCCAAGGACGTACAACCTTGGGCTTGGAACATTGGAGCGAACCTCCAACCTTGATACCTTAGGCACACATAAAATTACCTTTTCTGAGTTCGGGGCGCCTTTCACAATCAACGGCACATCTCGGCTTGGACTTACTTTCAAACTTGTTCCTTCTTGAATTGCTCCCACTGTCATTTTCGCTTGACCAACCGTCTTGTATTCTTGATCTCGGCCAATCATTCCCACAAAATGAGCATCATTATGTGCTGGCAACGGGTTGTTTGTCACATTAGGAGGGTCCTCGCCATTTGTCACTACAATCAATTTTTCAGAAATGAGTCTCTCTATGGCTCTTTTCAAAGTCCAACAGTCATCGGTGCTATGCCCCGGGGCACCTGAATGATATTCACATCTAGCTTTTGCTTGAAATCCATGTGAATCAGGATGCATATGGTGGGGAGCGATGGGTCCAATCACGCCCATTTGCTTCAGCTTCTGGAATAGACTAGAGTATGATTCAGCTAATGGAGTGAATTTTTCCGCCGGCCTCTGCTCTCGAACATAATCCTGCCTGGGACGAGCATTGTAGGGTGCCCGAAATTTTTGCTGTTGAGGTCGGGGGATCCTTGGAGCTGGTGCCCGGACCTGCTGATTGGGAGGCCGAGCATAGGATTGAGCATTGAACACTGTATATTATGGTGGGCCCACAGAGTATTATTGAGGAATTGGTGGGGGATAATAGTGTTGAGGGTAGCTGGATTGCCCCTGCTGAACTTGCACATAAGGGTGTGATGCCCCTCTTTGAACTTCCCTGGATCCCGAGGTCATCATGGCCCCTTCATCTCTCTTCTTTTTATTTGCCAAACTTCCAGACCCACTTTGGATTGCTTGGGTGGTGGCTTTTAGAGCAGCTTGACTTACAATTCTTCTAGTCTTGAGGCCATTTTCGACCATCTCCCCTATTTTGATTGGTTCTGCAAAAGGCCTACCCATCGCGGACATCATGTTCTGAAAGTAATCAGGCTCTTGAGCCTCCAGAAAAATAGTGATTAACTCGTGATTATCCATGGGTGGCTTAACTCTAGCCGCTTGCTCCCTCCATTTGATAGCATACTCCCTAAAGCTTTCAGTCGGCTTTTTCTTCATATTGGATAGGTAATTGTGATCTGGTGCAATATCAATGTTGTACTGGAATTATTTGACAAAGGCCTGGGCCATGTCGTCTCAGACATGCCAATGAGAGATATCTTGGTCAATGAACCATTCGGAGGCTACTCCCACCAGACTCTCCCCAAAATAAGCCATCAGCAGTTCTTCTTTTCAACCTGCACCCCTCAGCTGGTTGCAGTACCTTTTCAAGTGGGAGATAAGATCGTCGTGTCCATCATACTTCTCAAATTTTGGGGTCTTGAACCCTGGTGGCAAATGGATGTGAGGGAACATGCATAAATCACGGAATGATACACTTTTGTGACCACCTAGTCCTTGTATGTTCTTTATGTTTTGTTCAAGACTTTTCATTTTCCTGGCCATCTCATCTGGCTCACCCGTCTTGGCATGCTTTTCATTTTCCACTAGTGTCTCGTACTGAGGAGTCTGATTGTATGGAGCCGAGACCCTAAAAGCCATATTTGGAGAGTAGTGTTCCATCATAAGCATGAGATGGTGGCTCATTGTTTGGCCTCGTCACAAGAGGGGGTGGTGGGATTGTATATACCGGTGCGCTAGACACGACGAGAGGGATGTTCCTGACCGGTGCAACTAGAGGGCGCATATTAGAAGTACCAGGGGCAGCATGGAGTCTGTAGTTTGGCACATACCCTAGTAGTAGAATGTGATTTCTCGCTGCATGGAGCGGTGGTTGAGTAGCCTGGGGTACGGTGGAAGTTCCCTCCGAGGGACCCTGGGGTGGAGGTTGATCGGAAACCCAAGCTTGATATATATCTAAAAGTTGCTGTCTCAATTTTCTTATTTCCTCCGACTCTTGCTCAACTGACTGACCCTAAGGATTGTCACTGACCAGCTCGATTTCATCACTGTTATCCATTACCACCGTTCCCTTAGATCTTGTGAAGTAATGATGTGTTGCCAGTTTCACCACAAACCAACCACCTTAAGCTTACGAGTAAGAGACAATAAACGTGTTAGGGTTAAGCATTTTACATATATGAATCACACGTAATATGCCATGTCCCTAACATTATCACCATTTCTAACATGCTTTTGGAAGGCTTCATGTTTCATTCCGGCTTATAAGGTTGCTGCTTATTGACGCTCTTATTTCCTTTTTTTTTCATTTTTCCTTTCACTCGCCTTATTTTGATCCCTCATTTTAGAGTAATCAAAAAATATTTGATCGAACCTTTTGGGGGCTGCCTACGTATCATGTCGCCGCATGAATCAGATCATTACGTAGCTCAGGGACACGACCATTTGTTTTGTTTTGTTTTTTTTAATTATATATATATATATATACACAAAAACAACATCTTTTGGGTTCATTTTCGAATCCTTCTAAAACAAATCTTTTTCCATTGATTTTCAAATATGTTTTTTTTATACAAGACTCAAAAACAAGAATTACATAAAGACAAACATTTAAAACAAGACCAGACTTGACTCAAATAGACTATTTAGGATAAAAGGCAAAACAACAAGACTCAAAACACCAAAAGACTCTTACAGACTCAAAGACAACAAAAGAACAATCAAAAGGACTGCTAACTAAAATAAGACTTTGATCTCTGCAGTTGAATCCACCAGCATCACTGTAATCAAGGCGCTTGTTCCTGCAGCTGACCCCCAACATTGCGGTATATCCTCTCCAAGTCTGCAAATATATGACGGGCGACGTTCAAGGATACTTCTACAACCGCTCAGGCATCATTCCTTGGCAACTCCTGCATGCTCGTGAGGTATATGTGGCTACCTCTAGGATCTTTCCCCTTAACGTAATCCTGAGCCAAATGCAACTCTTGATTTCGCTGACCACGTGTCTCAGCTAGATCCAGTGCATCACATTCGCGCTCCAAGGCCATATCTTTTTGGCGCCGAATTTCTAATGACTCCCCCTCCAACCGATTGATCATACTTTGGTAGCCATGTCTTTCTATTTCAAACTCCGCGATCTGGCGCTCCTTGCTTGACTCAACTCCCCCTATCTGATCCCTAAGACCTTGGATTAATGGAAAACCTCTTCCCTCATGATCACGGACCACCTTGAATTGGGCTTATCTTTCTTCTTATTGTTGAGCGGTAGTGATCACTTTTTTCTGCCTAATTTGAGCTTTGAGTGCTCGCCTCTCTTGCGCCCACTTAGCCTTTTCTCGCTCGAAATCAGCCTGTTGTACATCCATGGCTGTCTCCATAATGCCTTTATCTTCTTGTAAAGTGTCTATACAGGATTGGAACTCTAGTGCCACTTCCCTTCCGGTTTCTCTAACTCTAGCCTCGATCTCCTCCTCCCAATCAACTGCATGCCGTATGGATCTTTCTGGCCTTTGCTCCGGGGTAGCCTGGTTGTGAAACCACTCAAGGTATGCGAGGCTTACCTTCCCATGTTCACGATCATCTACCATCTCGTCCAAATCAGAAAATCGATCACCAAACCAAACCTTTTGTGCATAGGACTCCCTTGGAGGTTCCTCTCCCTTGAATTCCCACATGAATGGACGCATGTCCTCAATTGGGGGCCTCTTTTGCTCTCTCCCTAGCTGGCGCATGACGCGTAGGGGGCGTAGGGTTGGAAACCTCTAAAACCCATGAGTATGAAGAACGGGCGATACATCGACATATGCATGACCCTAGCGGAAGGGAACCAATAATAGTTCCAAGTAATTCTATCAGCACTCGAAGAACCAAGTAATGTCCGCCAGGCCCTCAACCCCTCTAGAAGATTACAACTCGTGGCCCTGTCTGGGTGACATCCAATGTAATTCAGCCAATTATCATTGAAATTTACTACTATTAGATGATGATAAAGGTGCTCTATGAACCACATCTGCAACAGAATGTTGCATCCCTCGAAGTAATCTTCACCTTCTTGGCAACGGGTCAAAGCTCGAAAAATATCTCCCAAAATCATGGTAAGAATGGTATGATCCTCGCTACTTTGCAAATACGAGACTACCGCAACCAATCGAATTCTGATGCGCCCACCGTGCTCGGTAAAGACCATGACCCCTAGAAATGATTGACGAATTCTGTGCCCGAGAAGTTCTCAAAACCTTTCTCATCGCCAAATATGTCATAAAGATATTCCAACGGAACCCAACCTTCTTTTAAGCAAACCATTGGAATTCGGCGGAGGCATAAATTCTTTAAAAAGTTGTTCACACCAACTTTTCTCGGAGCAGCAGGCTTTTTCCCACGAAGGTCTCTCCCCAATCCGGTGAACCCACCTAATTCTTCCAATGTAGGCGTCATTTCACAATCTTTGAACCTGAAGACATTGTTAACGGGGTACCAAAAACCCACTAGAGCCTCGATTAAATCTCTGTTAGGCTTAATTCCCATGATATTTGTGAGGAACTTGAGGTGCTTAAATACTTGATTCCGTTCCCATGTAACAAAACTAGCCCACCAATTACAGAGACTACTTGGGGTCTTATCTCTTATCAAGAACATAGGAGGTGTCTCATACCTTACCCTTTTCTGACTGCTTCTTTGTGGAGAATTCATGGTGAACCTAAGAATAAGATAAAAAAGGGGTCAGGACTTACCTAAACTATATGAAATTCTGATTATTCTTTTTTTCAAAAACAATTTAGGACTCGATCTATTTTTCATTATTATTTTTTTTGAAATTAGCAGACAAAAAAAGTAGGAAAAGGGCCATTATTACAAAAACGACCTTTTGATACTTCCTCAGAAGGCCTAAAGGATGTCTCGGCAAAAACGGCCAAGCATAGAGACAAAATAATAAAATAAAAAAATAGACAAAGCCCGTTGGTACTCCCGAGAGAGATTCAAAGGTTGTCTCGGAAAATATAGCCAGACAAAACTAGATAAGATGACTATTATTTACGAAAACACCCTTTCGGCACTTCCGTAGAAGGTTTTTAGCTATCTCGACAAAAAATGTCCGGACGTAAGGGCAAAATGATAAAAAGCGAACAAAGATGGACAAAATTGCTATTTTACAAAAACGGCCCTTCAGCACTTCCGAGTAAGATTTTAAGGTTGTAGAATTTTATGCTCTTTTATTTTAAATGTGGGCTGAACCTGATGGAGGTTAGCCTACGTATCTCACATCCGGTGAGAATCAAACCCCGCGTAGTTCGGTGAAACTTGGTACTTTTCTCTTTTGATTTTTATGAAAATTAATCTTTACACCTCACGCCAGACTACTACAAAATCTTTTTTTTTTAAAAGAGAAAGGATTATTTGTACTAAACTAGGAGAATGATTTTTTTTAATAATTCCGCTATACTAATTTTCTAAAGCCGGTCGACAATGCAAGTAAGCCTTCCAAGTGATGTATCAAGTAGCACATAAGTGAACATGATGGTCTCAAATAGGATACCTGTCTTATATGGACCTAGCCCCTGTGCCGAGTTTCGCTAAGTCAAATGCACGTGATGCACATAAAGCGAACCTACAAGGGATATCCGACATGAGGTTTGTTCTTCTAGGTTTAAATCCTAGTGGAGAAGGTATCTAGACTGGCTTACTCGAGCGGACAACTCGAGCCGAGGGTCAGTGTACCGGTAGCATTGCTTTCCGGCTTAACTGGTGGTGCTCCCCGCCCAAAATATGTGGGACTAAAATCCTTCAACGGGTGACAAGCACCTCGGCTATCTCAAAGAAAGCGGGCTATGTCAAGCAAATGCCCAATTTTTAATTTCAAGAAGACTCAGAGGAGGTGCGTGAGAAAACAGTTTATATGTACAGTTCAACAATATCAAAATGGTAAAGAGCGAACAGGTAGCACATTTGGCACATATAAATCACAACATATACAAAATTAATAAAGCCAAATAAAAATTCAACATGTACAAGCTCGAATTCTGGTTGATGTTCCCCAACAGAGTCGCTAGAGTTGTCACCCCTTTTCTACCCCCAAAAGGTATGTGTATGGATTATTGTGGGTTAAAGGGTCTTTCCAATTAAGTGACGATTTGAAATAGGAATTATTTTATGGTTCA